AATATTTGATAGAAAATTATGCATGTGCATTATTACAAAGGGATCATTATTAGCAAATACTTTCATTATAATGAATCGGCCAAGGATGGTTATATAGAGTATATCATATACAAATATTTGTTTGTTTTGTATCTGGTAGGTATGACACCAGTGGGATGGGAGACTGCGTGAAGGAAGTGCTACTGCATGAAGACGACGACCTCTGGGTGGCGCTACGGCACAAACATATTGTTGAGGTCTCTCAGTGAGTAAAACCGTACATTTTTGGCCTTGTATCTGGTAGGTATGACACCAGTGGGATGGGAGACTGCGAGAAGGAAGTGCTACTGCATGAAGACGACGACCTCTGGGTGGCGCTACGGCACAAACATATTGCTGAGGTCTCTCAGTGAGTAAAACCGTACATTTTTGGCCTTAAGCTCTGGTTTTCCTGTAATATTCTCTGTCTGTTAATGGTGACATCCCTGTTCTCTCCCTCCTTTCTCATTTCCCTCACTGGCAGGGAGGTGACGCGCTCCCTGAAGGAATTTTCTGCCAGTAAACGGATGAACACTGGAGAGAAGGTACGCTGGAGTCCGGCTGAGGGGGGAGGGGCCTGGAGCAGAGAATAAATGAGTAGAACAGAGAGAATAGTGTAGCGTAGGCGAAGGAGGATAGCCTGGCAGATGAAATTACGTTGCCAGCCAAATCCAAACCGTGACGGCTGACTCATGTGAAAGCACTCTGAGGTTACAGCAGGATTAGTATTGATTGACTTACTGACACAGCACAAGCAAACACACATAAACACACACATTTCTGCTGTGACGTACTATTTGCAATAGTGTATGGTCTGATAAATCATAAGAGATTTTATATTGCACCGTATCTGTGTACCTACTTTGGCCTACTGGATCTGAGACATGTCTTGAGGCAGTATCTGAACTTTTTTGTTTTCCTTTCTGAGAAAGTCCTGTGTTTTTTCCAGACCACCATGAGGGACCTGTCTCAAATGCTGAAGAAGATGCCACAGTACCAGAAAGAGCTCAGCAAGGTGAGAGAGGTCAAAACGCATGTGCAGTCAGCCAAACAAGAGACTCCTCATGGGAAATGCAGATCTGATATTTACCTCATTGACCCTTAAAATCTCTGCCCCTTTAGTACTCGACCCATCTGCAGTTGGCCGAGGATTGCATGAAGCACTACCAGGGAACCGTGGACAAGCTGTGCCGTGTAGAGCAGGTACAATTTCACCACAGACATAGACATAGGATAGGATAGGAGTTTTGTGACAAAAAGAAAAAAACAGTAGCATATGCACCTAAGTTTCATTAATTAATTAAATGTTTCACACAATGATTTTAACACTCACAAAATGTGATATTATTATTATATTATTTATAATATGAGGTTGATAAAATTTTGTAAAAATTATTCATTCAATTTTTTTAAACTATTTATTCCATTAAAAACTAATGCTAAAATATTTTAAATATTAAATTAAAAAAATATTTGCCTTAAAATCTGATATATGTATATTATATACAGTATATATATATATATATATATATAATTCATATAAAAGCCAATTATTGGAAACAATTTAATTGTTTTAATTGTTTTATTGTCTTAATAAAAAAATCAGGATTTCAAATGTACTTTGTTCCTAATAAACCAATCAAAAAGATTTAATAATTGCAAATGATTTGTAAATAATATTTAATAAAACTTACATATACATACAAATATGAAAACAGAAAATGTACATTATCCACATGCATTATTACAAAAACAGGAGCTTTTGTTAATCAGCCAAACATAGTTATATAAAGTAAAAAATGGCAAAACTTAAGCTGATTAATCACTCTTTCAAACATAATGGTCTAACTAGTTAGTTGGTTCGTCTATTTGCTGGAAAGTCCGGTATGCGAAATAATATATATATTATATATAAACCTACTAAACTTGCAAATGTATATCCTTGGGTATATTTTACGAGCCAGGTCACATTTTATTTTGTGATTTGATTAATTAATTTGACTGTAATACTACTAAACAGTGCTATAATCATCCATACCTCCTCCATTTTTGGCTTCTAGTAGATAAAAAAAAAGACATTTCTCATGAGCCGTTCATTCTATTTCTATGGCGGTGGGGGGACATAACACAGGAGCTGCTCGGAAAAGTTACCCACTAGGTCACGATTCATTTTCAATGAGGGGGTGAACAGAGCGGAGAGCAGGTGCAATGAAACTGCCACAATTAGCGATAGAGTATGGAGTGCGTGTCTAAAAGCTGTCTGCAAAGAATGCTACCACCTCGTCTATATTACCAGGATGCGTCACTGGTTAAATTGATCTAACTATGATAATGAAGGGCAAACCATGGTTTTACCAGTAGCTAAACTATGGTGACTAAAACTGACTATTCATAAACTATGGTAAATTCATGCAAGTGAAAGAACAAGTATCTGTTATTTAGTATTTTAGTATTTACTAACCAGTAAGAAATTTATTAGTATTGATTCTAAAATGATCTGAAAGCATCACATCATTTAGTTTTTATTGCTTCCAGTGTGCTAAGCATAATTTATGAACTGTGCTCTGTCACCCGGCAGGATCTGGCTATGGGAACAGACGCAGAGGGCGAAAAGATTAAAGACCCCATGAGAGCCATCGTGCCGATCTTGCTGGACGCCAACGTCAGCACCTACGACAAGATCCGTATCATCCTGCTCTATATTTTCCTGAAGAACGGTTAGAGAGTCTTTAGCAGCCATTTTATACCTCAGTTTGGGTTTCATTGCCCTGATCAGCCATTTTGTAACGTGGCTTTGCGTGTGCATGTGTTACAAAACAGGGATCACGGAGGAGAACCTTAACAAGCTGATTCAACATGCCCAGATCCCTCCTGAGGACAGTGAGATCATCACCAATATGGCTCATCTGGGTGTCCCAATCATCACAGATGTACGCAATCTGATTCTTGTCCTAAGCAACGGTTAAGTCTGCTTGGCTGTTGAAGCAGTTTCTCTGACCTGCCATTGACGTTTCTGCTTTGTTTCTGCAGTCTACTCTCCGCAGAGGCAAGAAGCTCGATCGTAAGGAGCGTGTGAGCGAGCAGACCTACCAGCTTTCTCGCTGGACCCCACTCATCAAGGATATCATAGAGGTCAGTCCTGAGCTATAGAATTTGACAGAGAAACTGTGTGCAGACTGTGTGGACTTACCTTGTTTGTGAATGTGGTTGCAGGATGCTATCGACGAAAAGCTGGACACCAAACATTATCCGTACATCTCGACACGCTCGTCTTCTTCCTTCAGCACTTCTGCAGTCAGGTACGCACACTCACCAACTCTGATTTTCAGGCTCCCTTTCAAATAATGAGGAATTCGAATTGGCCACACTTACAGGAAGGGGACTTCACCAAACTGCAAAAAAATTAAACAAATTATGTTGACTGAACAAAAAAAGATGATTTTGCAGGTGTTTTGTCTTGTAAACCTGCTTTATGTTATTTGGGTCTGATTTGAAGACTTAAAGGGTTAGTTCACCCAAAAATTCTGTCATTAATTACTCACCCTCATGTCGTTTCAAACCCGTAAGACCTTCGTTCATCTTTGGAACACAATTTAAGATATTTTTGATGGAATCTGAGAGCTGTCTGACCCTGCATAGACAGCAACACAACTGAAATGTTCCCAAGTCCAGAAACGTAGCAAGGAGATCTGTAAAATAATCCATGTGACATCAGTGGTTCATCCGCAATTATACGAAGCTACGAGAATACTTTTTGTGCGCAAAGGAAAAAAAAAAAAAAAGACTTTATTCAACAATTCGTCTCCTCCGCATCACCCTGGCGCCATTTTGGAAAATATCCGCTGGATGTAAACAGCGTATGCTATTCTGTGTCAGCTGCGTCACGCTGAAAATTTTTAGATTTTTATTTAATTAACAGTTGTATTTTTATTAATGAACATTAACAAGGATGAATAAATAATGTAACAAAGATATTGCTCATTGTTAGTTAATGTTAGTTAATGCATTAACTAAATTTAACTAATGGGACCCTATTGTAAAGTGTTATCTTTTTTATTATTTCATCATAATCTCAATTGTAAAACCCAAGAAAATTAAATTAATTTTAAATGAATGAAAACTATACTATACTAAACTCCTTTAAATATCCAACCGTTTCAATTACACTTCTTTACATTCAAATTTATTAGAATTTGAATTTCAAAGGCAACTCTAACACACACACACAAAATCCCAATACACAGGTGTATTCATGCATTTTTGTATTGCACAAGTCAAAAGATAGAAGTATCTTGGATCGATAATCATTTGTGTACCAAGGGGTGGGGAGAACATTAAGATCAATACCGTGATTGGTGGGTGGTGCGACGTGAGGTGGGGGTGAACACCACGTTTTTCAGAAGCAGTGGAAACTGGTATATTTCCTCAGGGTCAGCAGTAATGATCCCTCCGCACTGTTCTGCTTTCAGGACAAACAAGCTAGCACAGCTCCTGTAAACAGTAGCAGAGGCAAAGCAGGACGTCCCTGACTCCCACAGAAGGACAGCTGGGAGCTGATGGGTCCCATCGTGTAGCTATTGATTAGACTCGAGATCACCAGTGTTCACGCTGATTTCCCCTCTCATTATGCTTGCAAATAACTCTGCCGTTCCTTAAAGTTATGATTCAGCCAAAAATGAAAATTCTGTCATCATTTACTCACCCTCAAGTTGTTCCAAACCTGTAAGAATTTCTTTCTTCTGTTCAACACAAAAGAAGACATTTTGAAGAATGTTGGTAGCTAAAGCAGATGCTGGTAGCCATTGACTTCCATAGTATTTTTTTTCATACTATGGAAGTCAATGGCTACCAGCAACTGTGTAAATTATGATAACATTTTCATTTTTGGGTGAAATATCCCTTAAAGGGAATGCTCCGTTTCATTGTTTTTATCATATGCAAATAACATGGTACTTTGATATATGCCATAATTTAGGCCTTTTTTGTATTGCAAGTTTTCTAAACAGTTGTTTAAATATGCAAATGAAGCATTAAATAATTAAATATATGAACTAAACCAGGTTGTTGATATATCAAAGTCAAATGTTTTTAAAGAGGGGATTTTGGATATCTCTTTTTAACACACAAATAAATAAAAAAATACTGTCAAGAGCCAGAAGAAAAAATAGAAGAAAAAAAAAAGAATAGAAAAAAACAAAAACGTGTAGGTTTTTAATAATAAAATGTATAAAATCAGGCAAATGATTTATGAACAAACCAATTTGTAAAAACCTTCAGAATATAGATAGGAATAAAACTGTAACATTTGGTGTATGTAAGTGCTGCTGAAGTGGAGACTGTGGCTCCTAAATCTAAATCTGAGAAAAATGGCCTTTAAAGATATGTATTGTAACTGAAATTTACAGACGCAAACAGATAAACACTTAAAAGTGTATTTTGGATGTTTTCTTTCCACTAGTCTGAAACACCAAAAAAACAGTGTAGTCTCTAACTGTTGCCACTAGAAGGCCATAAATGGTACTGCAACAACAAATACCTTCAAATGACCCTGCAAAACATCAATTATACTTCAGTCTTTTGGTTTGAAAAAGAAGTTGACATACATTCATGTGTTCTTTTCATGGCAGTGCCCGATATGGCCACTGGCACAAGAATAAAACCCCTGGAGAGTACCGTACAGGCCCGCGCATCATGGTCTTCGTCATTGGGGGCGTGTCCTTTAGCGAGATGCGCTGTGCCTATGAGGTCACACAGGCCAATGGCAAATGGGAGGCCATCATTGGTGAGTCTGCAGAGGATACTGCTAAAAGTCACTGTAAATTCAAGAGTTATTAAGCAACCACCCTTTAAAGCCTTAGATTGATATCTTTAGCTTTAACTATACATGTGTTTTTGTTGTATGATATGTTTAATCAGACTGGCAAATCTGTCTTGTATATTTTTCCTGTGCTCTTGTCTTGTACGGTATTTTGTGCCTGTCATGTTTTAACTGCTTTTAAATTGCAGTCGTGAGCCTCTGCTGTTCATAAGTCTATGTTCGTAAGTTCTTCTTTGTGTGTGTCTTGTGTGCGTGTGATAGGGTTTATGTTTAAGATGTGCACTTGTGTTTAGAATTGTCTTTTAAACTTACCCTTAAGGCCTATGGCAGCCAAAACAAGTGGGTGTTCACATTGCTCTTAAAGGAATAGTTCACCTAAAAATTAAAATTTGCTTAAAATGCACTTATCCTCAGGCCATCCAAGATGTAGATGAGTTTGTTTCTTCATCATAACAGATTTGGAGAAATTTGGCATTAAATCACTCGCTCACCTATGGATCCTCTACAGTGAATGGGTGCCGTCAGAATGAGAGTCCAAACAGCTAATAAAAACATCACAATAAGCCACAAGTAACACACAATTGATGGACTGGAGTTGTGTGGATTTCTTGTGGATTATTGTGATGTTTTTATCAGCTGTTTGGACTCTCATTCTGACGGCACCCATTCACTGTAGAGGATCCATTGGTGAGCAAGTGATGTAATACTAAATTTCACAAACTTATTTACATCTTAGATGGCCTGAAGGTGAGCAAATTTTCATTTTTTTGTGAACTATTCCTTTAAAGGAATTACGAGTTCTGATTAAGATTATGGACGCTCTGCTGCTGCAAATTACTGTCAGTGTGAACGCCCCTTTAGAAGTGAATTTTAAAGTATGTAGTAAAGCAAAGTATCAGTCTGTTGTTTTCCAGAAGCAATTTGAGCACTGACGATTTTACATTAACACTGAATTTCTAATTGGTGGATTTGGGTGACTTACACAATTTTGTCCAAGCATGAGGTCTATTAGAGATGAACAATGCATCTGAAGGACCTCAATGGGACAATTGGCTGTACTTCTAATTTAGTTCATTTAGTTGATTGAAGGAGGCCCAACAGTTATTGAGTTTTCCATCACCGATACATCCACCAAGAGCTTCCAAAAATAATTTTTTGTCGGGGTTCTAGGATATTTCTAAAAAACATCACGATCTACAGATGATGGAAATGGTATTTAACCCTCTTTTGTCCCCATAAAGATTAATGGTGGTGAAAGAACGTGAGGTGCGGTGTGAGATTCATTCTGAGCGTGAAGCCACCTTTGTTCCTCCGCAGGTTCTACTCACACGCTCACCCCAACCAAATTTCTAATGGACCTGCGGCACCCCGACTTCCGAGAATCCACTAGGGTGTCCTTTGAGGACCCTGACCCCTCAGACGAGTGAGAGAGAGAGAGAAAGAGGGAAGGGTGGGAGAGAAAAATCACACTCTGACAAAGTAAAGGCAGCCGAACAAAGAAACCCTTTCTGAACCCCCACAGCACAAGGGCTTTCTTTTCTTGCTCCTGTTACCACACTTTACTGTTTTACTACGCCACCACGCCTCAAGGATGGGTGTCCGGCTCCTGCCTCCAATCTGCAAGTCTCACTCAGGCTCCGCCTTCTACTGGGACCTGCCAATATTGATATGCCTCCACTTATGAGAAACAATTGGCCGGCTGAACGCTTCATTCAGAACTGCAGTGGGCGGAGCCTTTTTTGAATGACAGATGCAGTAGGAGTCCTGACCCCATCCCTGTTGACCGCATCCTCTCAGTTGGGTGGATTAAACTGCATTCTCCTCACTATGCACCTTTTAATTAAATGGAGTCTCCTTTTCTGACGAGGAAAGGCTTCCTCCATTTGCCCTTCTAAATATCATTATTTTTAAAGCTTCATTTTCCCGCAGATTTAATCTACCCTTAAGACTCACCATATTGCGATTATTTCTGAATAACAATCTAAGACAGTCACTCATATTAACTTTGTTTTTCCCCCTCTGGAGAGGTAATTGATGCCAATTGCAGGATAATTTGATTTTGTTTTTAATCTAGTTCCTCAAACTACCTCACATCACGTCTACATGACCAAGTGGCCGTCTGCAAAGAATATATGTTAAAATTACTTCCGCCAGACAGTGACTGGCTCGTTTCCTTCTTTATAATTATTCTGCAGATGCCAAAGCTTGAAATGTAGCTGTGTTCTTCAGATATGCTTTAGCACTAACGCTTCTCCCAAACACTAACATTTTGAAACTAACTTGTTTGGGCCCTTTACATCATGCTATACCCCAGGTCCTGTTTTTTTTTGTTTTGCATTAAAAATAACTTACTAGACTATTAAATAGTTGATTATAAAGCTGACCACAACAGCCTCATGCTAATAAATCAATGCAATTTGTGGTTCATGACTGGTACTTAAAAATAGAGGATGTTTTGAACAAGCTTAGCAACACTTTATATTACAAGACTGTAATTCCTGTGTGTGCAGGCCTGTGGTTACATTAAATGTTATGAATTTCTCATTGTAATTTGTTTAAAACCTACCATTAGCTCTTACAGGAATGTTCTGGGTTAATGTTCTGAGTTTATGACATACTCTCAATTACCACAGGGAATGATTTTAAACTCTTTTGGAAGAACTTTCTAAACTCATGTTTACAGTAATGCTCTTATAATGGAAGTCTATGGGGTATTGCATTGTAATAATATTCAGATACTGTACACACAGTTCTGAAAGTACAGCCATAAGACATGAACATTTTATGTATACCTTGTCTGTATATTAGGGCTGCACGATAAATCGCATGCGATATTTAACTCGCATCTTATCAGTGAAGCCGGTTCTGTAATCAGCGGTAAATCTCCATCACCTGCGGGCTTTCACATGGAGCAATATCGCATGCGATTTATCGTGCAGCCCTACTGTATATGTTTATATACACTATTTTAGTCTTTTAAACCCTTTGGAATACCTTGCCCCATAGACTTTCATTGTAAGAGCGTTACAGCACAGAAATGGATGAGCCAGGTTGTTTTCTGTGGTAATCAAAGATGCTGTTGATAGAGATTAACATGTTTTGATCATGGAATATTCATTTAACCCATCTATGATCTTCTCTGAAGCATTAAGAGTAACTATAACATTTATAAGCCAACAAATGCACACAAAGGAGGTCCTGTAATACAAAGTGTCCTTCCAAATACCTTTACTGATTAAACCATTGTACAAGAATGATCATTGCTTAGCCCTATCAAGTATCCATCTCTCAAGTGTCAGGCTGCTAAAGCTATATCCCTTTTGATTTCCCCTTTTTCTGTTGGTTTTTCATGTTCGTAAATGATCACACCATAAGCAGTATGCCAGTCCTAACCCATACTGCAACATGAAACATTTCTTGACTGTTCCAGCCATTATTGAACAATAATATGCTTTGTTTTCATGGATCTTTAGTTTAGACCCGTTCATCTAGTTGAAGAGCTACAAATCACATTGTGAATCTGATTAGCAAAACTGCGTGTTTGCATTTAGTTGGCCCAGTAGATTATATCAGCTGCGTTCAGAACCAGACAACTGAGTTGCCTGTTCAAAGCCAGGCATGCAACTACACATTCAGTTCTACTTGCATAGCAATGTAAGATTCATTTGCCTCTTTCTGTAGGCAACCCTCACTGGTTGTTAAGTAAATTTTTAATCACTTGATCTTTTTATTGCAAAAGACTACTTGTAGTAGTGTGAACATTCAGCTTTGCTAAAAATATTGTTGTTTAACTGGGAGTAGAATAAACATTTGTTCCACAGGGCACCAAAAATCAAAAATTATTTAAGTGTGTACCCATGTTTTTTTTTTTGGAGGTGACCCTGTGGCACAAATGTTTTTGGATAGTTTGAATGTACAGTATTTGTGATGTGTTAGAAATGTGTCTTCAGCTAAATATCTAATCAAATTTAAATATTTGCTTATTTTGACATTTTTTATTTTTAGATTCAAAGCAAAATCTTAATAATTAAATATACGTGCATAAAGTACCATTAAAATGGGTTGGCCAGTTTTTTTTTTGTATGTTTTTGAAATTCTCTTATGCTCACCAGGGCTGCATTTATTTGATTAAAACTACAGTAAAAACAGTAATATTGTGAAATATTACTATTTGAAATAATGGTTTTCTATTTTAATATATAAAATGTAATTTATTCCTGTGATGGCAAAGCTGAATTTATTACTCCAATCTTGTCACATGATCCTTCAGAAATCATTCTGATATGTTAATTTGCATTTGCAAGAAACATTTCTTATTATTATCACAGCTGGAAACGGTTGTGCTGTTTAATATTTTTGTGGAAACCATGATATATTTTTTCAGTATTCTTAGATAAATAGAACATTTAAAAGAAAAACACAATTTTGATCAATTTAAAGTGTCCTTGCTCAATAAAATTCATTTCTTTAAAAAAAAAATCTTTCTGACCCTTTTGACTTTTGAACAGCAGTATATATGATGTCTATGTATATATATATATATTCATTACTATTATTAATATATATTTTCTACAATATTATAGATATGATATAGATATAGATAGATAGATAGATACACAGCTGAAAACACATTTAAACATGTTTACAGTTAAATGTACAAATTTAATGAGTTTTCCCTCTTTGTTTCTCTCCTCGGTGCTCATTTATGCAGGTTCGACCCATATCGTCGCCCCCACCCAGCTTCTGGATGCTCTCAAGGCCATGAACAAACCCGACGAGGAGCAGACAAGCTAAAATCACAATTTCCTTCCCCCCAACCCCATCGCCCAGTTACCCTCTCCCTCCCTTCATCTGTCATCCTGTAAATCGCACCCGCTCCTATATAAATTGTGTATGCATCTTGCTTGAGAGAAAAAAAAAAACACATAGATGATTGGTGACAAGTTAAAAAGAATATTCTATAAATTTATATATATACATATATATAATGTTGAAATAGAAGAATCATTACAAGTGTTCTTCTGTTTTACAATGGATGCAAATGATTACTGTCAAACTGAGTTTTCATTATTAATTGCCATTTAAAAACCTTAAAGCACCAAATGTAATATTGTATGTTATGGAACCTGCTAGAATGCGTAAATGGTAGATCACTTTTTGCATTCGCTCCTTATTTAACTTGGTGTGTTTTTTTCCTTGTTTTTTATGGTTTAAAAGTGGTTGGGGGAGGGACTGGTTTATATGCAAATAGACCTGTGAGGCAAAATAATGCATATCACTTCCTACTCTGAAGGCTAAACTGCCGCCCCGTGTTTAGATGCTTGGGTTTTATTGTTGTCTCATTTTAGATGTGCATGCCATGGACGCTACTATGTGGCCCTTTTGACATGTTTTAAAACATTGGGGGGAAAAAATAAATAAACATGTTAAGATGTAAAAATGAAACTGAGCATCTTCTGGGACTCCAGTGATGAAGAGGAAGGAGGCCGCTCCTTATTTAACTTGGTGTTTTTTCCTTGTTTTTTTATGGTTTAAAAGTGGTTGGGGGAGGGACTGGTTTGTATGCAAATAGACCTGTGAGGCAAAATAATGCATATCACTTCCTACTCTGAAGGCTAAACTGCCGCCCCGTGTTTAGATGCTTGGGTTTTATTGTTGTCTCATTTTAGATGTGCATGCCATGGACGCTACTATGTGGCCCTTTTGACATGTTTTAAAACATTGGGGGGAAAAAATAAATAAACATGTTAAGATGTAAAAATGAAACTGAGCATCTTCTGGGACTCCAGTGATGAAGAGGAAGGAGGCCAAAGGAGTAACAGATCAAAGCCTCAAGCTGTAAAAGTGAAAGAGACACTGTACATAGATAGCGGACATCACCCCTTCGTCAGGAGCATTTACTCTTCATATACTTTTCTTTTCATGTCTTCTTCTACAGAGACCTCATGATTTAGTGTGAAGAAGGCCGTTGCTTGCAGATGTTTAAGGAATTCAAAAAAAGGGCCAGTTGTATTTCAGTATTGTATCTCGTCCGATTAAGTCTTATCATTGGTTAGTAAACAATGTTTAACTGGGACATGCACTGAGTAGCGTGTTGTTGTATGCCATATGTTACTGTTTTTTCGTCTCACTGTTGACTGGTGAAAATTTCTGACTGTGAAGTAGTAAAACCTTCTTTGCCAATATGAAGCCACTGTGTTTGTGATGTATTAGCTGTAGCTGTAGTGATAAACTGGGAAAAAAATAGGTAATATCTATCTTTCATTTGTCCGTCTGATAGTTTCTTTCTGGTGCACTGTTATATCTTCCACTGGTGAATGGCTTTGCAGTGAAACGCAACCCCCTTCTTTAATGTTTTGGTTTCAGTTTCCTCTTTAATCTGTTCTGGCAGAAAGGTTGTATATTGCACTACGCGTTTCCTGTGATGCAAACGCTTCTATGGCTCTCTCTCTTCTTTTAAATTATTACCTTATTTTGGGTTTGCTGTTGTATATCTGTGTCGACTGGATTGATTTCTATTCAATTTATTTTTCAGAGAATATCAATAAATAAGAACGTAGTCCGTCCTAAACCTGTCGATCTTACTGGGATTCTATGTTTGCGAGTGTTGAAGCACAAACTAAAGTATACTTCATGTGTACCGATGTACTAAGGCTGTCTAATAAATTGGCTTACATTACAAATATGCAATCAGTACATTTTTGCGACATGCTCTGTACAAGATTTCTCCACCTCTACACTGCAATAGTCTCCAAAATCTCAGATTGATCTTTTTTGTTATATGAACATTGATTTATACGGAAATGTATGATATATAAAGGGGTTCCAAAACACTTTGAACACTGAATTGATCAGTTTTTCATTATTATGCAGACTGTACTCAAAAAAATAATAATTGTATTTTATAATACATATTTATTCATTCCAGGTCTGGAAATGGCTACCTGCTATTTCAAGCTATTCCATGATTAGCGTGGGAGCCCTGTTATATCAAACAAAATGTTGATGTGGACTGTTTGACTGGCCACCAACCTTGATCACTGGTCTCTGAATACATGATAGACTAGCTGGCTCTCAACACAGATCTGCAGCTACAGGAAGGTCAAGAGAAGGTCCAGTCCTTTATCTTGAGCAAAATAAATCTTGGTGAAATGGCTGTAAGGAAAAACAGCAACATGACACACCATGCCAAATATGATAGAAACATTTATAGTGGTAAATATAGTATAAAAGTACAGCTCTATAAATACAAACCACATGACAGAAACATAAAAAAACATTATTAGACATTAAATTTGACTGGGAGATGCCCAAAATAATTAGTTTGTTTAAATTTACAAAGCATTACTAAAATGACATTTACCTCAGAAAGCTATATATATATATATATATTGTAACAATATTGCATAATCTGTAAAAACGTATGCTAATAACTATCCCATTATTGTTTCCACAAAGTGAAATGCACGCTGGTCTTTTCACACTGACCTCAATGCTGCTACAAACTCTTGTGGGACTCGTTGGACTGTATACACACCACTCAATCAAACTGCTTTTTCTGACTATGGGGTAGAAAACTGTCACACAGGCATTTACATTAAAAAGGTTATGCAGTTTGGAAATTCTAGGTAAACAAATACAACACAAAAGTATGGTAATATAAATAAAAACTCTATATTTATTTTCTCCATAAAAAAAAAAACAAAAAAAAAAACAAAAAACCTGTCACTGACGGATTTAAAAACCAAACAGGTCCACATTCACACTGTGAAAATACATATAAATCTGTTACATTATTTGCACTTTCCAGAAAAAAGGTCTACTACTGTGCACCTAAAATTATTTGGACATTTAAACCACACTTAAACATGCATCAGTGTCTTGGTATTATACAATAAAATACAAACTCACAGATGCCCTAGCATAGTAACCACCGGTGTATTTCATCACAACTATGAACATGTTCGGAAATCTCAAGTGTCCAAATATATCTTCATCTTCATTTTGAACAGCATATTTATTTATTTTTTATCTCATTTAAAACCTAAAAAAAAAAAACCTTCTACAATGTTTTGTACAAAAAAAGCAATATTGCTTACATTTTTTGCTTTCCAATGCAATGAGATGCATAAATCTTAAGTGTGGCCTAAGATTCCAAATATTTTTTGGGGTCACTGCATATACAAACCTGGAATGTTTAAGCTGCCATAATGCAGCTATTAATCTCTAAAAGTAGCTGTTCACCTAAAACATTTCACACTTTCCATCATTTCCCGCTGAAGTGTTACATGTCTTACATTATCAGTCACATCGCTATGAGAAAATGAGTTGTTTTTGTAAACTAATAATAATGAACAAATGTGACTTTCTTCACAGCTCAGCAGTAGAAAAGTATAATTCCTCATTTAAAGTGACTTTGGATAAAAGCATCTGCTAAAAGAACAAATGCAAACGCTGGTGTCAGTAGGTGCAGGATGTGGTGAGGAAGCTAGTGCTGTGTAGTCCTGAGGCCAGAGAGTGAGCCATGCGATGTGAGACCTCTCTCATGTTTCTAGCTGCCGCGATGGCGCGGGTCAAAGAGCTGTTTAGAGAGCACTGCTGATGGTCCAAAGAGAGAGAGCGTCTACGATGACCTCTGACCCCTGGCCTCTCATCTCTGACAGGACTGACTGAGATGTTAAAGGGTTGTGAGTAGGCCTGTGCCATCACAGGGCTGGAGAAGTAACTGCAAGAAAAGGACAGAATGATTAATCTGTTGTGGACAGTTACACCAGAGGAGTTAGTTGTATGTTACTTAAAACTAATTGTTAAAAAAAAGTGTATAAGAAATATATAATTATATAAATAATATTATATAATACTGCTCAAAATATCATGGGTAGTAAGATAAAAAAAAAAATAAAATAAAAATAAATTATACTTTTATTCAGCAAGTCAGTAAAGTGACAGTAAAAAAACAATTTTACAAAAGTTTTCCATTTCAAATAATGTTATTAAATTCAATAATAATAAACTATTAAATAAAAATGTTATTAAATAATAACAATAATAATATACAGTAGGGTTCAAATGTCTGACGACACTGAAGAAAATACTTACAGTGGGTACGGAAAGTATTCAGACCCCCTTAAATTTTTCACTCTTTGTTATATTGCAGCCATTTGCTAAAATCATTTAAGTTAATTTTTTTCCCTCATTAATGTACACACAGCACCCCATATTGACAGAAAAACACAGAATTGTTGACATTTTTGCAGATTTATTAAAAAAGAAAAACTGAAATATCACATGGTCCTAAGTATTCAGACCCTTTGCTGTGACACTCATATATTTAACTCAGGTGCTGTCCATTTCTTCTGATCATCCTTGAGATGGTTCTACACCTTCATTTGAGTCCAGCTGTGTTTGATTATACTGATTGGACTTGATTAGGAAAGCCACACACCTGTCTATATAAGACCTTACAGCTCACAGAGCAAATGAGAATCATGAGGTCAAAGAAACTGCTTGAAGAGCTCAGAGACAGAGCTGTGCCTTGCCACAATTCTGGCCAAGGTTA